ATAATGTAACAAGTTCACAACTTCTTCTTCTTTTTTTTTTTTAAGACTTATTTATTTACTCATACAGAACTGGGGTACAGGCCAGAGATGCGGAGGAGATGCGGAGGGTGAGAGGATTCACCAGGGACAGATTGGGGAGCAGAACATGCAGATCGACGAAGTACACTGGTGAGGGGAGCAGCGGGCGGGTCAGGAGAGTTCTGCCACACTATGTGGATCTACTCCGGGGCAGGCGGGGATCGAACTCATGCAGAATTGGCTTAAGCTTCTTAGTGCTGTGCTTTAACCTTCTGCTATACCAAGGAGGGCCTCACACTTTATTCTCTAACTTTTTTTTCACTGTTCTTTACTTCATCCAGAAAATGCTCAATTTCTACTCTATGTTATATGTGACCCTCCTACTGTTACCTTATTTTTACCTTGCTAAAGAATCTCCACAGATAATGATACAGGTACTAGACTTTATGAGCATTAGCATGCAAAAATTATTTTCTTGGTTCAGCCATATGAAATTTGTGGATAGAGACAGAGTGCTGTATCCAAAATTATTTCCTCTATGAAAACTGAGAAATAGTCTCCTATCTCTGAAATAGTGCTAATATTGCTGAAGATGTACCTGTTTCTCATGCCTTTGGAGATCAGCCAGTTACATTTTTCTATAAAAGCTTCAAGAGCATCTTAATTATTTCTGGTATATAAAAAATGGCAAAAAATAATGTTAAAAGAATATGTCATTTTGAATATGTGTGGGAAATCATCCCTAATTAACAGCTACATTTCACCTTTAATTTTTGCCATTTTGTGGAAACTCTTCTAACTGAAGAATTATGTCATTCTTCAGCTCCTGATAAGTTAGTGCTTTTACATTGATTCAAAAAGATACCTGCACCCCCATGTTTATTGCTGTTTTGTTCACAGTTGGAAAGACATGAAAATAGCCAAATGCCCAAAAATGGATGACTGGATTAAAAAGGTGTGGACATTACTCAGCAACCAAAAAGAAAAGAAAAGAAAAGAAACACATGTCTTTTGCAGCAAAATGGATGGAACTGGAAGATCATGCTTTGCTTAGTGAGATAAGCCAGAAAGAAAAGGGAAAATACTGGATGGTTTCTCTCACAGCAGGAATATAACAGAACAGGCAAGAAAATAATGATAATGATGAATATCTATATACCAGGGACATTTTGTGGGGGTGGAGTAGGGAATGGGATAAAAAACAGCAAGGGAAGGGAAATGAACTGGACTATGGCGATGCCACATGGGTAATTTGGTGATGGGAGGCCCAAGGGGATTGGAAAAATGCACAAAATGATGTAAAATAAACTATTTTATATAATAAAATAAAATAAATAAATTAGTGTTTTTAAGTTAAATACACCTATTATCTCAATATTCTGCTTCTGAAATATCTAATAAACTGAAGTTTGGTTTGTTTTATCTTCAATTTATTGTATTGTCTATGTCCCTTGTCTTTTTTTATGTTCAGTTAATAACTATGTTTCGGGTTTATTTGCTTTTTACTCTTAACATATTTGGTACATTGTAAAAGGAAGCGAGATAACAGATCTTTTTACATTACAAGCAAGCAGTGGGATTACATCAGTGTATGCATAAAGTATAGAGCTTAACAATCATCACATTATTCTTAAAGACAGTTTGGTAATTTCTGAGCTCTTATTGAGACTGGTATTCATCATTCATTAAAAAAGTACAATTGATACACAAGATGTTCCTATATTGACTAGTCATCAATAAAATATTTCTATGGTGATCAGTTATCAAACAAAATATTCCTATGGTGATCAGTTAACAATATACAAAATGTTTCTATGGTAATCAGTTAGCTATTGCAACTTAAGCAATCATTTTGTTAATTTCCCAAAGAACATACATCTTAAAGGTACAGGATCTAATGTTAAGGAACTAGGAGTCAGAAAAACACCAACGCCGAGTGCATTGATATTTCCTTGCACTTAAGGAAACTCCTTTTTTGATCTATAAAAGGAGCTTTTATTAATCACTATTCCTGTAATTGTTTTGTCAACCTAGTCTAACATAAGAGTTAGGGGAAAATTTATTTCTTTACGGTCATTAATTATTAGCCTATTAATCTTATCTAAAAAATCTTTCTATGTGAAAAAAAGGTTGGGGTGAAAGTTAGAGAAAAGAGTAGGAAGACTTATTATTAATTATAATTCTAATACTTAAACCAAAACTATGTTACTTTAAACTATAGATCTTTTATTGGGGACTGGGCAGGGAATTATTACAACCTTTGGCTCCCAGAATTCTTGGACCATGACATGTCTCTTATTATTGTGAGACCTAGATTTATGCTAGTGCCCTCAAGCAGAGGAATATTAATTATTTTACACAGTACTGAGCCTTCTGTGTATAATGCTATTGTTATTAAATCAATCAACCAATCAAGTAATTACTGATTTTATTTTGAATGTATATTTGAACAATTACTATGCTTCTTGGGAATGGCCAAAAACAAACCACTCTTCTTGGAAACAGCCATAAACAAAACAAAAAGTATCCAGCAGGGACCACCTGTAGAATATCCTGACTTTTCAAGATTTTCTCCCACATCAGGACCTCTTCATACAACATTGCCAGGAGATATTTACGTATGATCTCTGATATGAAACTAAAAGTCTGGGTTTTAAAACAGTTTTCATAAGAAACATGTATATAAAATGTCAAAAATTATATGTATACATTTCAAATATATGTCCTACATTTCTAATATTTTTATTTGAAGTCAAAATTAATATTAGAAAGTTGAGAGATGATTTGCATTTTGATCTGAGGGCTATAATTTGGGTTTTTCATGATTACATATAATTCATTACTGGATACACTATTATGCTCAGTTTGAAAGGTGTTCTCATTTGCAGAAAAAAAACACAAAGTATTCTATGTGACAAAAGTATTGTATGTGAAAAGTCACACACAACAATTTTAATTACAATTGCTTCATGTCAAAATATAAAATGTGTACAAAGGATTTGCCAGATTCAGTTGAGATAGAGTTAAAAAAGAAAAATGGTAAAGAAACAAATTAAGAAAATTGATAGAGCATTTCGGTTTTCCCAACTGTTTGTTTTTAACAAAGTTTACCAAAAACACATGCATTCCATTATAAGAGAAAAACTATGAATCCATTCTAAATATTCTTAAACACACTTTATATTATTAATAAATTACAACATAAGGGTCCTCTCTGGTGGTGCAACCAGTTAAAGCACAGCACTGTGAACCTGGGCACAGCACTGTGAACCTGGACACAGCCACTTCTGCATGAGTTCAAGCCCCAGCCAGTGAGGTGACTCACATGGTACAGCAGACCTCTCCTGTCTCACCACTGCTCCCCTCAGCAATGTTCTTCATCAGTTTGCCTGTTCTGCTCCCTTCTGACTCTTACCACCCACCACACCTTTGTCCTGTACCATAGTTCTGTATAAATAAATAAATTAGATATTTAAAATAAAATAAATAACAATTCCAGAGGATACTACAGCATACTCACTTGAAAATATCACAATGCTACAATTTCTCAAGATTAAAAATTATATATTAAGCAACATATTTAACAATCGCTAAGAATTGATTGCTATATTAGTTTTACTGACACTGTATTTTCATCTTCTTTAAATTAGTTCATCCAAATCTTGTACCATTTACTTCACTTATGAATCAATAATGCTCTCTGAACTTAGCAGAATTTTCTTTCAGGCAGCAATGCTACTTCTCTGGTACATTGGCAACATTTTAAACTCAAATTGATGATACAGTTTTGATAATTTAATATTAATTATACCTCATAATGATGGTCCAAATTCTACAAAAATTAATTTTAGTAATACAACTTGTATACACAGGTTATATTGTTTATATTGTGATATAATTATTGAGTTTAGCCTTTTCACTACAAATTACTGTCAACCTAATTTGAATGAAATAATCAAATATTCATTTTTAAATTTCAGCTGCTTAATTTTTAAATTCATTTGCGGGGCCATCCTTGGTGGCGCAGTGGATTGAAACACAGCACTAAGAAACTTAAGCCACTTCTGCACTAGTTGGATCCCCGCCTGCCCGGGAGGAGATCCACAAGGCGCGGCGGACCTCTCCTGATCTGCCCACTGCTCCCCTCAGCAGTGTACTTCATCAGTCAGCCTGTTCTGCTTCTCACTCTGTCTCTGGTGAATCCTCTCACCCTCCGCATCTCTGGCCTCTACCCCAGTCGTGTATGCATAAATAAATAAATAAATCTTAAAAAAAATCATTTGCCATTAGTTATTTACAAAAATGGAAATATAGCTATAAAAATTCACATCCACAGTTTAAAATGCAGATTAACAGGGAATTGAAAAGTAACTTAGGAGTCTTGTGTTGCAGATGGTTTCAAATAGAAAAAAAAGAAAAAAAAATACTTTTAAGTAAACTGAGTGGAATAAAGAAGTAAAATTTCTACTTTATATACAATTGAGTTCAGTTTTCCTGTATTTTCTAAGAATGAATGTTCTGTGATCCTAGAGAATCATATTCCATACAATATTCTCTGAGAGAATATTGCTACACTTGTGCTTAACCTCAGGAATTCAGTTGAAATTTAAAAATGACAAGTGCCTCCGTGGTATCCTGTGTTAAGTCTGAGCACTCTATCATTACTGAGGCCTAATTTTGATCCTTGACCAGGGAACTAACCCACCTGGCATAGCCAACCTCTCCTGTCTCCCTGCAGTAAACCTGCCTCTTCTGCTCCCCCACTCTTTCTCTAGTGTATCCTCTTACATCTTCCACCTCTATCCTACACACCACTTCTTCTACACAAAAATAAACAAACATTAAATAAATATATGAAAAGTAACACACTAATTAAAGATGATACAACAGCTACCAGGCACCTCCCCCAGATATAATACTTGTTAGCAGTTGCCTGCAGGATTCCTATTATTACAAATACTTTCAAAGACAAGTCTTCTTACCAAATCTGATAGTTTAGCATTTCTTTCTCTTGCTGACAGGAAAGCTGTATAGTGATTAGTCAAATTAGGTAGTTCATCAGAAATTCTGTTGACCTGTGAATTACAAAATATATGCTGAAAGAAGAGGTGAAAGGAGTATAATTTTATTTATCAATAAGTGGCACTGTATATAATAAGATTGTAACAAAGTTCATCAATACTGGTCTGTCATTAAACAGACAGCTTCATTAAAAGAAGCTTTAAATGTTAAATAGAAACAAAATGCTTTGCCATTAAGATTTTAAAATGGAAAATAGGTTGATTATATTCATTTCCAGGTAAGTAAAATGGATCTGCATATATCATTTAAACATATTAGGCATGAGTTATTAATAACATTCAATATCAAATTCAATATTAAATCTTGCTGTTTCATAAAACCATCAGGTTTTGTTCTAATGATATATGAAAATAAATTATTTGGCCACTTACATTATGTGTCTATAATTAATCACTAAGTAATTATAATTTAGAATTACAATTATAATTTTAATATATTTATATATTTAATTTAATAATGAATTATATAATAATTATCATACTATAACAATGTATTAATATATTAGTTATAATAATTATATATAACAGAATGAATATAAGCTGATAAGATTATATAATATGATTATATCTATACTATATGTTCAAATATATCATAATAAAATATGTTGTAATAATAACAACAATAACTTATTAACAAATAAAATTATGTTAACAACAGCTATTTAACTTGACTTTGTGGCAATCCTGGGTTAATGAATTTGCTCAGCAAAATGATCCATACCCTCTTAAATACCACAATCCTTATATGTATCAAAGATATAAATTAAAATGCTAGAGGAAGCTACTAATCTAAAAATTTAATTTGGGTTAAACTGTATTCAACCAAATAATGTCTAATTAATCTTTCTTTCTCGCACAATGTCTCTCTCTTCTCCCCTGCCTTCTCACTCCCCATCTGCCCTTATAAATAAGCTTTTTAAAAATTATTTCTCTATGCACTTCTGCATTGGGCCTTATCCTATGTTTTTAAGCATGCAGCTGTGGATTCTATCTGGGTCACCAAATTTCCCTCAGAGTTCCTCTATAACAGCTTGGTACTTAACAAAGGCCATCATACCCATGGTCCAACAGTCCAGAAGAAGCTTCCTTGCATTGGGCATCATAAACATTGCAATTTTGAAACATATGGGTGGATTTTTATTTTTCAGTATTTAATTTAAAGGAGCTTGTTTTTACTGCAGTAAAGTCCCCACTGTGTCTGCTTTTTATTTATACGTGGTTCCTTTAGGTAGTTCTCCTTTTCCTTATTCATATTTTTCTGGTATTCATATTGAGTCTGGTAATCCACTAAGTCAGTTATATGGAAGCTTATTTTAGTCTTATGAGTGGTATGGTGGGCATTTGTAAGGGAACTAATTTCAACCTCCATCTTAAGAATTTTTCTTTGTTTTTACATCGAGAGGAGATGAGCTTTATACATCAACCAAGAGTACACTTGGACACATTCTGGTTGTCCTCCATAAACTAGATTTAAAAAATCAGAAAGACTCATTTAACATCACACACACAAAAAAGAACAAAGTACTCTTACCTTTACCTTGATAGAAAAAAAAAAGTAATGAGGAGAAGGAGAATGAATCAACCTGGAGAGATTTAACCTAAAAATAAGAATCTTTTTCAAGAGATCAGGACTCCTCTTAAGAAAGCTACAATGGCTCAACAGGCCTCCTACCACCACTACTTCCAAGATATAACTAAAATGGTTTCTCCTTCCCCTACTTCCCTAGAACAGAACCTTTTCAACAAAGAAGCTCCCCATTTCACAAATTTCCAGGGAATGAACTGAATAAATAGAAGAAATTAATGAAACTTTATTGGCCATATATTCCCTTGTCCATTGGGAAGTTCCTGAATTTGAGAAATTCAATCCATCATTAGTGGCAGATCCTAAAATCACAACTAATTTGTGAACCTCATTTTTGCTTTCCATTAGTCAACTTGGAAGGACATACAACCTATATTACATATCTGATGAATATCAAATGAGTGAAGAGTGGTTTTATGAAAGGTTAGTAAAGAGACTCACCAATTCCAATAAGAGGATCTAGAAACCTTTGATATGGAAGAGGCCATCCCAATTGTAGATTCTAACTATGACCCCAATGATTGGAGAATGGAGAGACTAGAACAAAATCAGAGGTTCTTATCAGAGAATGAGGAAGATAATCCTTAAGTAAAAGAAATTTGGTAAGTTTCAGCAACTAGAGCTTCAGTGAAAGTCCAATGAGGATCTGAATTTTTTGAAAGAATTATACAAACTTATGAGTTATACAGAGATGAATCCAGATATTCAAAAAAAAATGTGATGAACATAACAATTTATTATAATGCTCTGAATATAAAGAGGAAATTAAGCAGAGAAGAATGCAATACAGCTGAGTCCTTCCCAATTGGTGTATATAAAATTTAGAAGAAAAGGGGATGAAGTCTTCAGCTGTATTCTGTTACCTAACTGGACAGCAGCATTGGATGTAGTGCAGGTTGGAGGAAAGATAACTCAAAGTCCAGGTAGTGAGAGAGAGAGAGACCTAGAGGGGCTCACATCTCTGGAGATGAAATGACTTCCCCATAGACAGTCTCATATTTATTTGGTATCATATTCAGGGAAGGTGGGCAAGTATTTGAAGAAAAGTGTAGAGGAATATACATGGTGGGATATTATTGGGGATGCATAACAGTCTGGCACAAGCTGGGGAGAGGGAATAAGGGCTGTTGCCTGGGGGAGCTCCATTGTTGCTACTGATCAAAACATCCTATCTCCAGTTCCTGTTTACATTTTACTTCCTGTCAAGGTGGTCCAACTGGTTATGCTAATCTAGTCATATTGCTGTTTTCAGCATATATGTTCATAGCAAGAATTTTTTCCTGATGAGAGGCCCTTCCCCTGACTTTATATTTTAGCTTGACTAGCAGAAACTTTGGGCACCCAACAAAATCCCAAAAACAAGGGGAGCTAAGGAATCTACAGTATTGTTAGAGAGAGAAGGGAGGGCAAGTTTTAGGATGAAAAGAGGTGGGATGTAGGAGAAGTAACCATTTATGTAAGAATCAGTGTATTTATTGTTACAAGAGAAACACAGGAAGGTATCACAGATTGGAAGAAAGACAATATGGCAAGGATTTAGAGGACTCAGCCAAGTTTATAAGAGGAAGCAGGGATTACAGGCAGATTAGGAAGAATGAATAAACAAGGAAAAAGGATAGGGGGTAAATGGGAACCTGATTAGGTATTCAGATGAAGAATTAGAGGGCCCAGTAAATATGAAATTAAAATTAGGACACATGGCCAAAATTTTTGATGAAAATTAAAAGATAGCTCTGTTTTTATCTTTGTGTCTCTTTCCCCTGGATATTAGATTTAATTCATATGTAGCTGTCTTGTAAATACCACCTATATACATTTTAATATAATGAAAATATAAAATTCTTAAAATTAAAATAGTTATAATTTTCAGTTAATGAGAACTATTTCAAAATTAGTGGTTTTAACTATTTCAAAATTAGTGGTTTAAAGCATGTTATCTTGAGCATCATACTACAGGTAATTAATATTTTTTCTCACTTTAAGTGCATTTGGATTGGAATTGGCTTATGATGTCCAATAAGGAAGGATGATTGAATTGTTCTCAAGTTTTCTTAAAAATACCAAAAGAAATATGCCCAATGGCAGTTGTTTGAATTAATCCTGATTTAGAAATGGCTGTATGAAGAGAAACTTGTTTGGAAAAAATATTGGGCTCTGAGATTTTGGGTATCTTAGAAATTTAGAAAAAAAATAATAGGTTAAAGTAAAAAAAAAAAATTCCCAGCAAAAAATATATACTTTACTAATTTAATTTAAGATCTATTAGATTGAAAATTCTACTTTGGAGAAATTGCAACTGCAACTGGTAACTATTTAAATTTTCCCCTTTTATCATTACTTAAGTATTTTTCCAAATTTCCTTTGGGAAAATTAATGGTTTTAAGAGGTAAATATAAATGTAACAAATGAAAACAACTTTATATGTAAAATTATAGTGTGTGTGTTTGGAATTATTAGATGTTGTAGGAGAGCAGAAGTCTGCCATATCAAAATATGACTTTAGCAAGTGGTTTATTTCAAGGGAGGGTGGGAGGAAGTTGCTTTTGATGTTTATATATAATGTTCTCTTCATATAAAGATTTTTTCAGGAAAATCTTATATCCTTATTACTCTTTAGAGAAGAAAGCAGAAGCATGTTTGTTCTCCCAGTGAATGTCTGGATTTTTTTTTTCCCTTTATTCCCTTAATCTTTATTGCCCTAGTTATCTAGGATGGCATCTTAAAGCACATAGGTAAGTTAATAAAACCATACACACTGCTTTGAAACTTGCAGACATAAAAACATAGGTGCATCCCCAATGCAACTATAGTGAAGGCAAGGATAAAGAGATGGGACTACATGAAGTTAAAGAGTTTCTGTACAGCAAAAGAGACATTACAAAAAAACAAAAGGACATCCCACTGATTGGGAAAATTTTTTCTCACACAAAACAATAAAGGATTGATCACAGAAATATATGGAGAACTGATGAAACTCAACAAAAATAAAGTAAACAACCCCATCAAAAAAAAAATGGGCAGAAGAACTAAAAAGACACTTCTCCAAAGAGGAAATGCAAATGGCCAACAGCATATGAAAAAATGTTCAACATCACTTGTAATAAGGGAGATGCTTCCTTTTATTCTCTTTCAGCTATAATTACATGGTATATGAGGACAGATTATTTAATGGACACTGGGAAGCCTGAAATGATGAATAAGGCCATGAGTCTGTTAGTTATTGCTCTAGCTAAACTTTTTTTTTTTCATTCCAAAGTAAGTTGTAGATGGCTAGAGAAGGGAAGCACACTAAACCTAGTATAGGAATATGCAAATACACATAGTGTAGGCTGTATGAACACACTGATGATTTTTTTTTTAAACTAAAACTATTTAAACTGAGAATCTTACTGATTGTGTTGTGAAAATA